AATAGTGTTCACAGATCACATTCACACTCTATGTACAGTAAATAAAATAAATTATACAGAGAAATAACAAATATACAATAAATAAGAATAAAATAACCTAAAAATAAATGAATAAAAAGAACACTTACATACCTATATACAATCTGGTGAGGGAACTCCAAACCAGACTTGTTCCTCCAAGTGTAGAGGGAAAAGCATGGCTCCAGGAGATCCCAGCACTTCTCTCTCAACCGCGTCACTGGGGCTAAACCCAGTGGAGATTGAGCAAGAGTGCTTAAGCCACATACACTCATGTCGTGAGTGTAGAATCTGGCCATTGCCAGAACTCCAATATTTACAAACTATAAAAGGTAGCGGGGCCACTGCCGTTTTAACCTCCTTGGAGGATTATATGGATGGAAGGTGCTGGATAGAGATTGTGCAAAGGGGTTTGGATGATGGGTAAGGTTCTGGTGGAATTTGGAGAATTTTGATGGGATAAGGTCTAGGACAAATGGGATATTAAGGTCATGGTGTAGGGTTTTGTTGATTACATAGAAAGGAGCATCGACTATTGTTCGAAGGACTTTGTATTGGAAGGATTGGATGCGTTTGATGTCCGTAAGTCCAGATAGGTTTCAATATTGTCTTGTAGATCAGTAACTTGTTTTCAATGGAAAGTTTAGATTTCCTGTTTAGTAGCCGGTATAGTTGGCCATATCGTCGGTTTAGATCCTGTCTTTTAAGTCTAGTATGAGGGTTCCACGTTAGTCGTCTGCCTAAGAGAAAGTCAAGGTACCGGACTGTGTCTGAGAAAGGAAGCTGGATGGAATTAAAGTGTACTGGTGAAACTTTAAAAGTGTGACAGGAACTGCGTCGGAGCGTGAAGGTGATGTGTTGGCATTTGGATTCGTTTACTTTAATACGCCATTTATTACACCAGTGCTCAATCAGGGAGAGGTGTCTTTGAAGGTTTGAGGATGCTATATTTGGATCTGAGTCGGATGATAGAATGGCGGTGTCATCAGCAAAAGTTGCCAGGAAGGTATCGGGATGGACAGGGATATCGGCGGTAAAGAGGATGTAAAGGACGGGACCCGATACGCTACCTTGAGGAACACCTGCCTCAATTGGATAGCAATGCGAAAATTCAGTACCGCAACGAACTCGGAAGGTACGATCTGAGAGGTAGGAACGGAGAACAAGGTACAAGGACTGAGGAAGATAGTTTTTCAGCTTAGAAAGAAGCCCGGCGTGCCATACCCGGTCGAAAGCCTGAGCTATGTTCAGAAATGCACCCGAGCAATTGCTTGCTTTCCAATGCTGCGGAAATATGATCAACCACTCGGAGTCCTTGTTGGACTGTAGTGTGTTGTTCCTGGGTATCGCCGAATCATCCATACGTTCTACGTGCCCGGCCGATTGAAGTCGTCCTAACTTTATAAACCTCACCAAGTCTATGTCCTTAGAAAGACAACATTTTCCTTCTTCTCCAAATTCCACACTCTCTAACAGGACCAAAAATCCTTCTCAAGATTGATCTCCCAAAGATCAGAAGTCTATTTTCATCCTGCTACATCAATGCCCATGCTTCTGATCCATAAGTTAAAACAGGGAGGACCAATGTTATGTAGAGAGTGATCTTGGTCCTGTTAGAGAGGAACCTGCTTCCAAAATGTTTCTAAAGACCAAAATAGCACCGTCTTGCCGTTGCTATCCTTCTGTTGACTTCTCTAGATATGTCGTTTTCGGAGTTGACCTGAGACCCGAGGTAAACAAAGCTGCATACTTTTACGAAATAAAATGTTACAGCCACAAAAGAACCGGTCCTTGGCCTATCTCCTCCGACTATCATGTACTTGGTCTTAGCTTCATTAATGTGTAGCCCAAGTTTCTTTGCTGCATCTTCAATGGCCAAGAACGACTCTCTTAATGCACGTTCCGATCTGGCGGCAATATCAAAGTCGTCAGCGTACCCAAGAAGCTGAACGGTACTGTTCAGAAGGGTTGCATGGAGTTGGATACCGGATATACGCACTGCTTTCTCTGCAGCGAAGTTAAAAAGAAGACATGCTAGAGCATCTCCCTGTCTTACACCGCAGTTAGTATGAAAGTCTTCCGAGAAGTTACTTCCTACTCGCACTGCACACTTTGAGCCTGACATCGTCATTTTCACTAGCCGAATCAGTTTACTTGGGACCTTCATTTCCAACAGGGCCTGATAGAGCTCTGGGCCAGTTACACTATCGTAGGCGGCTTTAAAATCAATGAAGAGGTGATGGGTAATTGTTCTATACTCCTTGCATTTCTCTAGCATCAACCTCAGTGAGAACAGTTGGTCCAATGTGGACCTTCCTCGCCTAAATTCCGCTTAATATTTGCCTATTTCCCTCTCGGTATGAGGAACTAGTCTCTCAAATAGTATGTTAGACAGAACTTTATAAGCACATGAGAGAAGCACTATCCCTCGATAATTGTCGCAATCTGATTGTTCCCCTTTCTTGTTCAGTGGGTAGATAGTTCCTCTTTTCCACTCCTCAGGCATTTTCTCTTCCTCCCATATCTTCAAAATGAGGTTATTCTTATTTGCTCCTTTCTTATTTGCATTCCTCCATAGCGTATCAGCTCCGCTTGAATTCCATCCAGTCCTGGAGCCTTGTTGTTTTTCAGCTTCGCTGTGGCCGTTTCTATATCTTCATCGTCCGGTGGCTCGGCATCGTTAGAGAAGTCGTCCTCTTCTCTGGCTATTTCTTCTTCAAAGTTATCTCTTTGAAGCGCATCGCTGAAATGCCTTGCTCATCTCTTCAGAATTTCCCCTCTCTCCGTCAACAGGTCCCCGTCCTCATTCTTGCACGTAGTAAGTTTTGGTTTGAACGCATTACGGCCCTCATTCACTTTCTGAAAAAAGAGGCGAGTGTCACGAGATGTCCTGCAGTTTTCCACATCCTTCATCTTGCAGTTCTCCCATGCTCTCTTCTTTTTCCTGTGAAATCTCTTTTCCTCTCTTCTTTCCTTCCGGTATGTCTCCTGTGTTTGACGTGTATGGCGCTGGGTAGCCTTCTTATACGCTTCATTTTTCTTATTTGTTGCCTCGAGGCATTGATCATCAAACCAAGGGGACCTCCTGCTTCTTGTCTCCAATAAAAGGATTTCCTCTGCTGTAGTTTTCAGCGCTCTTGAAACTCCCGACCACTGGTCATCCACTGTGTCATTCCTATCTCTTAGTTCCTCCTCCAGCTTAGACTGAAGGTATTGCTGATAGGTTTCACACACTTCTGGATCCTTCAGTTTGTGAAAATTGAATTTCTTCACAAGTTCTCCAATATCCGAGTTCCGTTTCGTGGTAATCCGGGCACGTATACGGGCAATACTGAGGTAGTGATCCGAATCCACGTTTGCTCCTCTATATGTTCTTAATCCAATTAAATTGGACCTGTGACGAGAGCTGATTAAGAAGTGGTCGATCTGGCTGGTAAACGATCCATTAGGTGATCTCCAGGTAGCTTTGTGTATATTTTTGCCAGGGAACATGGTACTTCCAACCACCAGGCCGTGAGTGTTCGCAAAGTCAATCACTCTTTGGCCAGTGGCATTCGTGTTCTGATGTAGACTGAAGGTTCCAATTGATGGTAGGTGTATTCCTTCCGTGCCAATCTGGGCGATTAAGTCTCCTAGAACTATTTTAGCATCATATGCTGGACAAATCTTGAGGACTTTAGAGAGTTCTTTGTAAAACGTGTCCTTCTCTTCTTCAGATGATACTTCAGTAGGTGCTTGACAATTAATTATGGAGATATTAAAGAATTTTCCCTTTAGACGTAGGTAGTATAATCTAGGAGAGATGGGAGTAAACTTTGTTACTAACTGACGAGCTCTTCCTCTCACGATGAATCCGGTTCCATATATATGGTTGGTTTCGTGGCAGCTATAATATACGATATGGTATCTCTTTTCAAGGGTGCCACTTCCAAGCCATCGGACTTCCTGGATCGCTGCGATGTCAATGCGATATTTGTCAATTTGCTCGACGAGCGCCCGCAGGGTTCCGAGTCTATATAAAGATAAAATGTTCCCGTAGGCGATTCTTAAGACCATCAAACGTTTCCTGGTTTTATTCCGTAATGACAATCCGGCTATTTCTGCTTGTAGAGGTTTCGTAATAATGAGTATTTAAGGGGAGTGGGTTATTAGCCCATTGCCCCCGAGTCAGGTGGAGGGGCTGCCTCCTCTGAGCCTCCTGACCGGCTCGTAGCGAGTTGTCAAGCTCTAGCCTACCTCAGCGGTCTACCAGGCCTACCGTAGAGGCGTTTCCCGCCTGCGGCACGGTGAGCCACCTAACAACCCTTACTTACACCTTCGCTTCTTCACCCTAAGGGGCTGGCCATCATTGGGTGTTTCCACTACTTACCAGAGGAGGGGTCTCTGGCCAGTGTTGGCCGTCAGCAGGCTGGTCGGCAAGCCATATCATCGTTAATTCTTCACCAAATCTCAACATTGAGCCACCAATTTCGAAGGCTTTCTTCTCCTTCAGGCGGGTAAAATAGCCCAATCGCCCCCGAAATTCAGGCAATAAAGTTATGCGAATAACTAAAAAAATCCCTTGGTTATTCCCATGATTATATAAAACATTACTAAATTGTCTACAAAAGGAAAAAATCATTGAATTCGGACAATTTTTCGCAAAGATACAGCTTATTGAAATTTGTAAATATGTTGATGTAAATATGATAAAAACAGGGATCGAAACGATTTTGAATAAATGGAATAAACAGAAGTCATTTAATGACCTATTATTCGACTATAATTCATATCTTAAGTTATAATATATAAAGATCGAATTATAAAAAAAACGTTGTAACATTATATATATATATATATATATATATATATATATATATATATATATATATATATATATATATATATATATATATATATATATATATATATATAGGCGGACAGGGGGTACGTCCACGGTATAAAGAATAACATTTTTTAAAAATATTTTACTCATGAAATACCTGTAACATGGAGCTGTACACGACGAAGACTGAGCAAGGTTTGACCAGTTAAAGTGTTGACGGCTCTGCATTGATAACTGCGGTAAACATCAGCATCATCCAGTCTTCTCACAAGAAGTTCACCAGTCGGAAGCATTTGATATTTCCCATCTAGAACAATTCACTGATTGAAAAAAGCGAAATTCTATTGAATGATGTATTTTTAATATTCAAAATAAAATATTTCTAGCCTGGTTACATTATTAAGAAATAACTAAGCTAATTCTTTTGAATGCATCATCAGGTTTGTAAATTTTAACATAAGAGGAAATACTAAGATTTACTAAACCAAATATTAAATATGAAAGAGTTATATTAAACTAGTCGCAGGGTGTATGAAATTAAGTCATTTGGAATAAAATATATGGGCCCTTTTATTTATATCTATCCCACTATTCGCTTAAACCATCAACTCCCATTTGTTCTCAGTCTTTAAAGAAAAAACTATTCTCATTTACCTGATAAGTAGGTATTACTTTTCTATTGAAGCACAGAGCTAATTTCTAAAATATTAAAGAAATTTATGTAGAATATAGGAAAAGGTGGACACGAATTAAACAGATTTGAATACCTTTGGCTAAATGTTAAGTCACCCAAAACCTTATAAATTTAAGTGACTGTATCAACAAAAACCAATTGGGGGATAAAACAATGAAATTATATCATATTTCTAATATATTACAGTGTGGAAAAAAGGGGAAAAGATATAACTGAGATAAGTGGTTGATGGAATTTTCTTGCATTAGCTATTTTGTAGAAATTGAAGGCAGTTAACATGTAGTTTTTATTATTTATTATTTATTTAGATATATAATAATCTGTCTCGTGGACAATAATTATAGTGATATATAAACACATTCACACCATACATACAGAAAATATGAAATTAACAAAAGTAATATAATAACCAAATAATAATGAAAAAAAAAACTATGAACAATAAAAAATAAAATAACATAAAGATAAGTAAATTAAAAACATAAAAACACAGTCATACCTATATACAATATATAAAATCCGACATGGAAACCCAAGCTATGCTTCTTCCTATAGAAGGAAAAGCAGTACTCTAAGAGATCCCTGTTCCGGTTTTGTTGGTTACATAGAACGAAGCATCGACACTTAAGGTAGCCAAATAATGGTAAATCCCTAGAGTCAGCATATTTCTCCTGACTCTGTATAAATACCCCTCCCTTACCCGCCTAGCAGTAGTCAGACATTGTCACTCATAGTAGATAGTTAGATGCCATAGTTAGTTGTAATTTATATATTTTTTCATTGTATACTTTTTGCCAAATAAACTTTTTTTTTAAGTCCGAGTGAGTATCGAAGATTTAATTGACTATTGTTCGGAGGTATTTGGATTGAAAGGATTGGATGAGTTTGATGTTAGAAAATTTTACCGTCCCCCAAAGTTCAAGTCCGTAGGTCCAAATAGGTTTCAGGATTGTCTTGTAGATCAATAATTTGTTCTGAATTGAAAGTTTAGATTTTCTAGTCAGTAGTCTGTATAATTATCGTCGGTTAAGCTCTTGTCTGTTGTCTAGTATGTGGGTTCCACGTTAGTCTTCCGTCTAAGAGAAAGCCAAGATATCGAACTGTGTCTGAAAAAGGTAGCTGGATGGAATTAAATTGAACTGATGGACAGGAACTGCGCCGGAGTGTGAAGGTAATGTGTTTGCATTTGGATTCAATTACTTTGATGCGCCATTTATTTCACCAGCGCTCAATGAGGGAGAGGCGCCTTTGCAGATTTAAAGATGCTATTTCGAGATCTGAGTTAGATGATAGAATCAGTTTTATGCCATCAGCAAATGTTGCCAGGAAGGTATTGGGGTGGACAGAGATATCAGCGGTTAAAAGGATATAAAGGACGGGGCCCAAGACGCTACCCTGAGGAACACCGGCTTCTACTGCGTAGGAATTGGAAAATTCTGTACCACAGCGAACCTGAGAGGTGCGATCAGAGAGGTAGGAGGAGAGGATTAGGTATAAGGACTGCCGAAGATGGATTTTCAGCTTGGAAAGAAGAACGGCTCGCCATACCCGGTCAAAAGCTTGACCTATGTAGAGAAAAGCAAGTAAGCAATATTGCTTGCTTTCCAGTGCTGCAGAAATATGATCGACCACTCGGGGTCCTTGTTGAAAAGCCTGTGCTATGTCCAGAAAGGCACCCGAACTGTATTTCTTCTTTTCTTCTAGGGCTGAGGATATATGGAATGTTGAGAACGAAATCCGACTTGATGGGTATGAATTTTATGGGATTCTATTATGGGTTAGATTCTTTTCAGTAGGATGTTTTCAAACATTTTTTATAGGATTGGAAGTAGGCTAATTGGTCTATAAGATGATGTATTGTTGGCAGGTTTGCCTGGTTTCTTGGAAAGGACGATGGTGGAATGTTTCCATAGGAGAGGAAATGGGGTAGTTCTTAAGATGCAATTACAAATATAGATAGATAGAAAATAACTTTATTCTGGGACACAGTCCCTTGAGAATAACAAAATAGAACAAAATTAAAAGATTACATCTGGCCAAGATCCAACTAATCGAAAAAAAACTAAATAATGTAAAGAAAGGGTAAAGTAAATATTCTATATACAAAACAAACAAAACTATATACAAAACAATTAACACTATGAAAAGACACTTAACCCTATTTGCACTGATATACCAGTATACACATTTAACAATAAAGAAGTAATAAATAAAAATATACTAAATTCTTTATTAAAATCAGCTTTGTATTTCTGTCGAGAAACCAGAAAGCTGAATGTGACAATATAAAGTGCCTGAATAATATATAAATACATTATCATTTAGCATTGAGATTTGACAATGAATGGCATGAAATAAATGTATGTTGTCGAATGGTTAGCAACTATCTGACTGTTTTTGGGATAGGCATTGGAACAGGAGTGTTGTGAATGTGGATATGGATGGGGAATGTCGAATTTCGATAGGGAGAGAATTCCAGAAATTGACAGAGCGAGCAATAAAGGAGTTTTGGAATGAGTCAGATTTTGTGAGAAGGCATGTAAAGGTTAGAAGGTCGAGCTCTTGTAGACAGGGAATGGAATCAGGATTTGAACTGGAGAAGGTTGTAGTCGTAAGAAGGACGATGGTTGTTGATGATTTGGTAGAGGAACGTACCTAGGAAATATTATCTTCTGAAGGATGGGAAAAGCCACTTTAACTCAGCGTAGTGGTGAGAGACATGAGAGTATGTTGGGTCCCCAATCAAAAATCTTACGCAGCTGTATGTAATATATGTAAGGAATATGGTAGCATTGGGTGAAAGTTGTTGAAGGAACTGTAGGGTCAGGAGGTCGTATCCAGGAGATTTACGGAGAGGAAGTTTTTGTAAGAGATGTTTGACCTCAGATGGATTAACTGCTTTAGGTGATAAGGAGAGTGGAATCGGTGAAGAGAGGAATTCTTCTACTTTTCTATCCATACGTTTGCGGTATGGGTTGGATGGGATTCTGGATTGGGTAAAGTAGTAGATCTTGTCTGGGTGTCGAGTCACATGGGAATCATTGGCAATGAGCTTGCAGATGTAGCGGCCAGGACTGGACGCTGCCAATCTAACGCCACAAGATATACGTCTTCCCCTCCAAAAAGAAATAGTTTGTAGATGGCAATCTATGTGGAGTGAGAGTCCGACAAGCAAAGTTAAACGTATTAATAACACATGTGTATTTAAGTATTTATTTTGTTAGATTAGTTTATTTTTGTTAAGTTTAAGATATTTTAGTTTATATACATTTAATTTTAGAATTTTTATATTGCTTTTTATTTATTGTGCATAGTATGAATGAGCTACTATTTATCACTATTATTATTGTCCTTAAATGTGACAGATTGTAATATATCTCAATAAAGATATTTCCTAAGGGTTAAAACGGTTATTATTGTCCTTAAATGTGACATATTGTAATATATCTCAATAAATATATTTCCTAAGGGTTAAAAAAAAAAAAAACACAGTAAAGCCGTGGTCAATATCAAACCGTCCTATCCGCAGGGAAGAGGTTGTCTTAACCAGATTGAGAATTGGCCACACAAATCTGACCCCCTCTCATCTTATTAGTCACAACAGCCACCACTACAATGCCAATGTTGTAATAGTACACTTTCAGTTAGCTACATTTTTCAAGAATGTTGTTTCTATATTTCAAAATTTAACCAGTTTCAGACTCACACCTAAAATTTCAAACATCCTTAAAAACGACGAAGACACAGTACAGTTATTGTTGACTTTTTTAAAATTTAACAAAATTTAAAAGTTAAATTCTAAATACCTATAGTTCATAGACAAACCAAACTAAACGCAGTCGTTGATGGCCTCTATGTTTTAAGCCTATATAAACTCCAAAAAACAATAACAACCTACTTGAGACCAAACAAATTAACCGATCCACTTACTACAACGTCATATCTTACAACTCCTTAGCACCCCGCTTATATGAACTCAAGAAAATTCATAAACATGGTAATCCCCTCCGCCCTATCATCTCCAATACAAACGCCCCCTCAGCTAAACTTAGCAAATTCCTTTTACCATCTCTCCAAAATCTCAGCCACAATAATCCTTATGACATTAATAATTCATTTTACCTCAAAGAACAGAACAGTTGTCTTCTCTCCATATTCCTGACAACTTCATCCTTGTTTCCCTAGACGCCGAAAACTTATTTACCAACATACCAATAATCAAAGCCCTCCACTTTGTATAGAAAAACTGAACAATCATCGAACCTCACACCACCCTCAACCTCTCTTCATACCTTGAATCCCTTCTTTCCATCAAGACATCATTTCCATTAAAAAATAAGCAGATGACCTCCTCCTTAACCCTGATAGCATTCCTCAAATTCTTTCCTACATGTCATTCAACTCTTACCACCCCCGTCTTCATTTCACCATAGAGGAAGAAGTTAACAATTCACTCCCCTTTTTAGACTTTCTAATAATAAAAAACACTGACGGCTATATTTCTACTGACTGGTATACTAAACCCACGTACTCATTACACGACTACTTAACTTTTATTCTTAACACCAATAACACCAAGAAAACAATTCCGCCAAATACCTTATTCACCGATC